TTTTTTTTTTTTGCAATTAAAATGACTTTATTCCACCTGGGTGAAGGTGGGGTGAGATTTCCTACCAGGAAGAAATCCACACATGGGTAATGGTGAATGGGGGTTTTAAAGATCAGGAAGGTGGAGGTCAGGACATTGCCTTTCCTGGGTTGGACATCTGTTGCAAGGGTGGGGGTTGGCCCATTTACCTTTCCCAGATGGTACATCCAGTGGGGCAGGGTAGGGGGTTGACCCATTCACCTTTCTTAGGTGGAACATCTGGTGGGAGAGGGTAGGGGGTTGATTCTTTGAGGTGGGTCCACCCTATTTGGGTGGGGTTTGAGCCTATCTGTTTTTGTGTGTGTGTGTCTATTATATGGAGGCGGGATGATGAGGGTGGTATCTCTTTGACTACTCCCTGTAGAAGGAAGGGCTGAATGAGCTGCCTGTAAAGAGAAGGAGAGGGGGAGGGGAATGGGGTAAGGTAGTGCATTTACAGGAACTCTTTGGCTTTTTCGGTCTGAGCTGGGTGGTATCCAGTGAGGTGAGGATATGAGGAGTTGTTTTCAGGTGACTATCTGGCTAAAAATCGAGACATGAGGCAGAGGGTTACTGGTTCAAAACTGAGAGTGAGAAAAAAAATCATAATTAGTGATCTTATCAGACAGTAACCAAAAAGGAAGATGGAAAGTGAGAGGTAAGAACCAGTTGAAGTTGCCAAAGCCACCAGCAATTCAGAGAGGACATCTAATACCCATTACTGAGATCTTTGCCCATTTTTAGAGAATTTTTACAAGGTGGCAGCCTGGATGATGTTATTCTGTGTTTGTTAGAAAAGAGAAAAGATTGGCATACCTTGTATAAGCAAAAATACCTAGAGTTCAGTTTTCCAGGATGAGGTCCAGGAGGCATTCTGATTTTCTGGGGGTCATCCGTGTTTCACAGCTAGGCTCAGGAAGGAATTTCAGCCATGGTCTGAGAGTGTCTGATGGCGGGGGCTGAGATTTGGGGCACTGCTTTGCCCAGAAGCCTGGTTTACTGCACTTAAAGTAGAAGCCTGAAGAAGATTTTGTTTTTCTCATAATGCCTTGCAGAGTTTTAAGAAGTAGACAGCTTTTGCTTAATGGCAGACGCCAATACTGGAGCTCTGAGAGGCACTGCCACACCTTGAAGGCCAAATCAGTGAGATCTTGCTGGGAGGTCTGAGGGCCCTGGGGGAAATTCCACCATTTTTTTTCCTACCACATGGGCAGAGGATGGGTGGGAGGCAGTGGGGGGAGGGTGGTATATTGTTAAAAGGATTGGATGTGGGGGTTGGAGGGCAGTGAGAATGGTGGCTGATGAGAGGCTATAAACAGAAGAGAGGTATTCTACATAGAGAAATTTTCCAGGTGTTCTGATCGAGAGAATGGAGGAATTATGGGAGAGGGATTGGGGATGAGCAGTAGGGGCTGTGGAAAGGTCTCAGGAGAAGCCGGTGTTATCCGAGCCAGGAGAATCTGAGAGGGTTCACAGGATGAACACAGGGAAGGGATGTTTCAGAATATGAGAAATGCCTGGATATAAGGGATCTCTGACCATTTGCCTAATTTTTGACAGTAATTATTGAGATCAGTGAGAATTGAAAGATCGAGGGTGCCATTGAGGGCACTGCAAGCCACTGTCAAGCTTGTATATAAGCCAAGCAGTATTACCAAAAAAATGAGACACTTTGGTTTGAGGTCAGGATAGAGCTTTAGAGGCTTGAGATTAGTCAAAAGGCAGTTTAGAGGTGGAAAAGGGGGAACGTGTGACTCTGGAGTAATAGGCAGCTTAGAGGTGAAGAAGGAGAAATCTGTGACTGAGCAGTGCCCATGTCGAAAACTGGAGGTAGGAAAAGAAATAAGATTAAAAGGAAGAATGTAGGAGAGGCAAGAAGAAAGTCCAGAGGTGGAATCAGGGAGGGGGGCCTCCACGTGTGAGACCAGCCAGTATGAGACCAGCCAGGAAAAAGTGGTGATCCAGGCTTCCAGGAGAACACTGGACAGGTGAGCTTACCTCATGGAATTTACCAAAAATGGTCCAGCTCCCAGTAGGGCAATGGACAAGCTTGGCTCATCAAGGCCTCGGGAGATTACCCTGGGCTCTCCATGTACAACTTTGGTTAAAAGAGGGTCTGGCCTCTGCACGTGACCTTAACCAGCTTGAAGGGCTAGGCCCACAGTAGGGCACCTGAAAGGCGAAGCTGGGGAACCAGCCAGAGCCCAAGCCTACAAGAGAGTGTCCCTGAACACAAGGCACTGGGCGGGCTGGTGAGCCTTGCTTGCAAGGGTGGCAGGGGCTGAGATCAGGGAAATAAGACCTCCACCTATGAAACCAGCTGGACAAAATGAGGCTGGGGCAACCAGCCGGGGTCCAGGCCTACAAGAGGGCATCCCCAAACACAAGGCACTGGATGAGCCAGCAAGCCTGCCTCACTGGGATGGCAGGGGCTGGAATCAGGGAGAGAATAGGCCTCATGTGAAACCAGCCAGAAAAAAATGGTAGAGAAGGAAAAGGAAAGTCTGGGCCTACAATCAGGGAGGTCTCTATGTGTGAAACCAGCTGGAAGAAAAATGGAAGAGGAGGGAAAGAGCAGTTAAGAGTAGAAAATGGAAAGAGAAGTTAAAAAAGATTTAGAAAGGGAGTTCTAGACGAAAAGCCTCACCATTTAGATGGATGAAGTTTAGGAGGGTCGGAGAGGTTTCATGTTTTCTTTCATAATGACCTATGTATTTGGAGACATACCATAATGTATTCCCAGCCAGACAATATTGATGGAAACAATCAGAAAAATACAGTAATAAACTTTTACCTCATTTTGCGTGTGTATATACATACTTGAAATTGTGACTGTAGGTGTTCCTCTGCAGTGTGTGAACTCAAGATTTCCTGTATATGTAGTACAAAGATGAACTTTAGCCTACTTTGTCTATGAAATACAATTCTATTAGTACAACTGAAATCATGTGGTAAATGTACTTTTTAAGGGAAACTTTTTTCAAATCATACCTCATTTACTGAAGTTAGTCCCATAATATTTTCGTCATGAGCATTTCAGCTAGACTTTTTTTTTGAACATGAGTTGAAAGGAACCTACTGCACCCTTATGCTCACTCACACCACCTTTGGCTTTCTTCTTCCTCTCCCAGCTGTATCATCTTAACCCCATGTTTTTCCTCACTATAGTCCTCATCATACAAGCCTGAAAAGCTGGCTGAACTCCTAGTGGTGTTATCTTCACCTGCAGCACCAGTGGTATCCATAGTTGTTCTTTCCCATGCCCTTATCTTTAAAAAGAAAGGATAGGGTAAACACTGGGCATATTGAGACCACAGCTTTGGCCTTTCCAGTGACAGATAGGAAAAATCATAGGATCATTGATTAGAGGTGATGTTACAATTTACCAGGAACACCAAGCCTCTCTCTTAAGTATTTGGTGCTTTTTTTCTATCAGTTTAATAGGAATGAGCACATGCAACCTTTGGATGTCTGTGATTATTCTTTATTAAGCTGACCCAAAAGCTCTTGAAAAAGGTTCCACTCTTGACACCATACTCAAGAAATTGAACTCTTTTCCAAATGATGGCTGTATTGACTTTCTTGCTGTTTCTCAAACATGCCAGACATGCTCCTGTCTCAGGGGGCTTTGCATTAGCTGTTCCCTGTACCTAAAAAGCTTTCCCCTCAGATATCTGCATGTCCCTTGTCTCCTTCAAGATTTTTCCCAAATACCATTTTCTCAAAGAAACCTTCATGTTCGATTCAGCATTAATCTCCTACCATCTTACCCCTGCACTCACTAGTCCTAGCTCTTTTTCTTTTCTCCATAGCATTTATCACCTCTATAGTAGGTAAATTACTAGTTTGTTTACTATTATATATTTCACCTTGAATAAGTTCTGTAAGACAAGCGATCTTTGTTTTGTTTATTAGTGACTCTAGAATATTTCCATAGTAGTAACGGAAATGGCAAATACTCCTTTGATATTAAATGAATAAATGATATTATATGAATAAATTGGGAAAATACCTATAACACATTGTTAGATGGAAAAAAAAGTATATGATGATTCCATGTGTGTAACTTTTTTTTTTTTTGAGACAAGGCATTATGTTGCCCTCAGTAGACATAATAGTAGAGTAAACTCTAACTCTTGGGCATAAGGGATTCTCTTGCCTCAGCCTTCTATGGTAGCTAGGACTATTGGCGCCCACCACAATGCCCAGCTATTTTTTGTTGTTGTTGCCATTTCCATTGTTGTTTTAGCTGGCCTGGGCCTGGTTCGAACCACCAACTTGGGTGTATGTGGCCAGCGCCCTACCTACTGAGCTACTGGTGCCACCACCATGTATTTTTTTAAAGTATATAATTTATATTATTTATATCTACTTACAGCTGTATGCAGAAAAAGATTCATACCTACACAAACTATCTACATGATTACAACTAGAGAGCACATGGGGCAGAAAATAATTGGCTTTTTAGAAAAAGGTTACTTTGTTTCCTAAATATATAGTAATATAAAATGTTTCTTTTGCTGTTGCCTGAAGAAAGAGAGTTGTAGGAGGAAAGATTCAGCATTCTCATTGCTACTTATGCAAAGGCAGAAATGGTAGCAACTTAAAGGGAAATTTCTGGATTGAACAGTGTGGTGTAAATTCAACATTTTCCCTTTCTCAGAAATCACCCAAGCTATAAGAAAAATGACTAAAGAGAAGAGGTAAGGGTGGGGGGATCACTCACTTGAGACCTGGAGATGAATACGAGCCTAAGGAGCACAGCAAGACTCTGTCACTACTAAAAAATAGAAAAATTAGCCAGGCACGGTGGGACATGCCTGTAGTCCCAACTACTCAGCAGGCTGGGGCCGGAGGGTAAGCATTCGAGCCCAGGAGTTTAAGGTTGCTGTGAGCTATGATGATGCTATGCACTCTAGCTTGGGTGACATAGTGATAGTGTGTTTCAAAAAAAAAAGAAAAATACAAGGCCTGAGCAGAATAAGGTTGATATAACTGTTTTCTGCTGAACTCTGTGCCCTAAAAACAAATACCTCAATTCAAAACAGTAGTATAAACTGTATCCTTTGATCTTAATGCATTAAAAGTAGAAATTCTATTAGAAAACAATGTTTCCACTACCCGAAAACTTCTGAATCAAGGAGTGAAGTCTTAATTTCAGAATATTTAGAAAATAACAATGAAAGTACTGTACATATCAGAGCCTTTGAACTATCATTTAGATAAATCTTTGTAATCTCAAATTTTAAGCAAGAAAGAATGAAAATAAATTAATCACAACTCAAGAAGAATGAGGCCAAGAGTTCAAGAGTAGGCTGGTCATATGGGAAAGCTCCATCTGTACAAATGAAAATAAAACTAGCTGGCTGTGATGGTATGTATCTTTAGTCCCAGCTACTGGGAGGCTGAGGCAGAGGGTTCCTTGAGCCCTTAAGATTATAGTGAGCTGTGATTGGGCCAACCACTACACCCCAGCCTGGACACCATAGGAAGACTCTGTCTCAATAAAACAGATAATTAGGTGGCACCCATAGCTCAATGTAGGGTACTGGCCACATGCACTAGGGCTGGTGGGTCTGAACCCAGCCCTGGCCTGTTGAAAACAGAATAATAGTCAGGCATTGTGGCAGGCACCTGTAGTCCCAGCTACTCAGGAGGCTGAGGCAAGAGAATCACTTAAGCCCAAGAGTTGGAGGTTGCTGTGAGCTGTGATGCCATGGCACTCTACCAAGGGCAACATAGTAAGACTCAATCTCAAAAAAAAAAGGTTTTGGGCGGTGCCCGTGGCTCAAAGAATAGGGCGCCAGCCCCATGTGCTGGAGATGGTCGGTTCCAACCCAGCCCCAGCCAAAAACTACAAAAAAAAAAAAAAAAGGCTTGGTGCTCATAGCACAGTATTTACAGTGCCACCCACCAAGAGTAGTGGGTTCAAAGCCGGCCCAGGCCAGCTAAATAACTGCAACAAAAAAATAGCTGGGCGATGTAGCAGGCACCTATAGTCCCAGTTAGTCCCCGGGAGGCTGAGGCAAGAGAATTGCTTAAGTGCAAGAGTTTGAGGTTGCTGTGAGGTGTGACACCACAGCACTGTACCGGGGGCAACATAGTAAGACTCTGCCTCTAAAAAATAATAATAATTAAAAGCAGAAGTTTTTAAAAGGAATAGTTGATAAAATGAACCTAAAGAAAGCAGAAAGGATCAAGAAGACAAAAATGGAAATTAGTAAACACAGAATATAGTAAATCCAACATCTGGTTCTCTGGTGGGTGGGAGAAGAAGAAGGTGTATGAAAATAAATAGCCAATCTAGAAATTTAAAAAATTTCTTGAACAGACTACCACAAATCCAGAAAAAAACAAAAGAATCTTAAGATACTACCTTTACTCAGTTCTTTCAGATAAATTTGGGAACTTAGAGAGAATGGATAATCTCTATGAAACTATAATTCACTAAAAAATACTCCAGAGGAAGTAGAAAAATGAATCAAATAGAGAAAGTTTTAAAAGGAGAATAACAATAGTATACTTATATTTTTTGTGTGTCCAGCAAGAGTGAGAACCATCACCACTAAAAGGCAAGCAGAGGAAAAATATTAAGACCTAGGCAGCTGTAACATAGGAGACAGTCACACTTCTAAAGCTATAAAAGTTATAATATTCTGAATCTTCCACTGCTTATTGCAGTTGTCATACCCCACCAATTATGGAGTATTTCACTTTCATTTATTTAGTACAAAATTATATCACTTTCTACTACTTGGAATGTGATGTTATCAAATTGTCTTAATTTCATTTATCTAAACATTTTTGAAAACACCTAATGTGATACAAAATTTAGTTAAAATAACAAGTTGGGGCCCATCTGTATTTTTGTTATAATAAAGAATAAACATAAGAAATAATCAGAGCATATTTAAGATCAATAGAGAGACTAAAGCCAGATTAACATCCAGCCCACGGAATTTATATTATATAAAGGACCACTAGAGGTTTTTAGCAAGGCTAACTTGACAAGTTTGTTTTTGAGGAAGGTTTTTCTGTGAGTAGAATATAAAATAGATTGCTTTCCTAAGCAGAAACAGTATGGCATTCATATTCATGTATCTCCAAGCCTTGTAACCTAGTTGTTTTCAAGAAACATGGGATGATAGAGGTAGAGAGATGCTGAGCCTAAAAATGGAAAGACATTATGTATAATGAGAATCAAGAAATAGACACTGGAAGGCCAATGTGGGTGGATCGTTTGAGCTCACCAGCCTGAGCAAGAGTGAGACCCATCTCTACTAAGCCAGACATAGTAGTGTAACTTTTATTTTGTTTACTTTATTTTTCTTAGTTGTTTTTCTCTCTGTCCCATGTACTTCATACAGTCCTAGTACACTGTTGGATAGTGGTAAGCTACTCAGGAGGCTGAGGCAAGAGGATCACTTCACTCAACAGTCTGAGGTTGCTGTGAGCTATGATGAGGCCACAGCACTCTACCCAGGGTGACAGAGTGAGCCTATGTCTCACAAAAACATAAAGAAATAGATAACAAAGCTGTATCTTGAGCAAAGACCTTCATAAATACAATCCCCAAAGAACCAAAGTTCTCAAAGCTCTTTGTAGTTGGCTAAAACTTAATTGGTAATCAGTACTCTCCAAGGCCAGCGTAAAATTAGAGAAGTGTCAGAGATTTTAAAAATATGAAGGAAGGAAATGGACAGCAGCAGCAGTGGACAAGGGCAATTGTATAACAGAGTTAGGAAGACCTTCTCTGTCCTCAGTGCAGCCACTCATCAGTACACAACTTGGAAAATCAGAATCTAAAATACTTTTTTATTGCTTGTAACTTTTATGTTGTTTACTTATATTGTTTATTTTTCTGCATTGTTTTTCTCTCTGTACCATGTATTTTGTGCAGTCCTAGTACACCGTACACTGTTGGATATTTACATAGTAAAACTATTTAAGTTGATCATGTAAATATTTTGCTACCTCATTTCAGAATTTGCACCACCCTGGGATTGTGAATTTGGAACGTATGTTTGAGACCCCAGAACGAGTCTTTGTAGTGATGGAAAAGCTGCACGGAGATATGCTGGAAATGATTCTCTCCAGTGAGAAAAGTCGGCTTCCAGAGCGCATCACTAAATTCATGGTCACACAGGTATTTTTAACTCTTCTTTCCAAACTAGGGAATAGTTTAAAAACTAAGAAAACTAAATAGCAGTACTTTCACAAATTGGGAGATTATGGAATTGTTAACTTTAAAGAACAAAATATAACAACAAGTCTTTAGCTAATTCTTAATGAACTGTAGTAGGATTTTGAAGTCATTAGACCATTCAAAGAGACATAGTGAAGACTGATTTTCTCCAGGCATTGAAAAAAATCTTTTTTCCTAACAGATACTTGTAGCTTTGAGGAATCTGCATTTTAAGAATATTGTGCACTGTGATTTAAAGCCAGAAAATGTGTTGCTTGCATCAGCAGAGCCATTTCCTCAGGTGAGTTATTCTCTAGAACCTTTCAAAGAATCATTTTAAATGATTCTGACATTTTTTAAGTACTCAAATAATAGAAGGCAGGGTACCAAGTAGTATAAGTTCAAAATGCAGACCATACTATAGAAATAAAATTTCTAGCCTGTAACTGCCAGCAAGGATTAGTAACTTAAATAATTTGAATTCAGTCTGGGTGTGATGGCTCATGCCTATATCCCTGCACTTTTGTGAGGTCAAGGCAGGAGGATTGCTTGAGGCTGGGAGTTCAAAACTTGCCTGAACAACTTAGCAAAATTCCATCTCTCAAAAAAAAAAAAAAAGAAAGAAAGAAATTTAGCCAGGCATGGAGACATACGCCTGCAGTCCCAGGTACTCAGGGCACTCAAAGAGGAGGATCATTTGAACCCAGGAGTTCAAGGTTGCAGGGAGCCATGACTAACACCCTCCGCATTCTAGCCTGGCTAACAGAGAAAGACTGTTTCTAAGTAAATAATTATTACCTGAATTCATGTTTTGTTCATTGTTTATGTTCATTAAGGCTTTTTAGTTAAGTACTTCTCAACTTTGCACACACAGGCCCTTTGCAGTTCACCTCTCCCCATGGGTTGAAAATGAAGTGGAGGTAAACCAACCTTGGTTGTTGCTTAGTGCTCAATTTATGAATTCCTCATAAGTTAAAACAGACTGGTAGAATGAATTGGGAGAGATTTAAATTGAAGCAGGCAGACAACACCTTTTCTTTTGAGTACCATATTTCAAACATTTTCACCAAAACCTATGTAAGGATTATATTTCTTTTTTTTTTTTTTTTTTGAGACAGGGCCTCAAGCTATCCCCCTGGGCAGAGTGCCGTGGCATTACAGCTCACAGCAACCTCCAACTCCTGGGCTCAAGCGAGTCTCCTGCCTCTGCCTCCCAAGTAGCTGGGACCACAGGCGCCCGCCACAACGCCCAGCTATTTTTTGGTTGCAGCCGTCATTGTTGTTTGGCGGGTCCGGGCAGGGGATTCGAACCCGCCACCTTAGGTGTATGTGGCTGGCGCCTTAGCCGGTTGAGCTATAGGCGCCGAGCCAAGGATTATATTTCTCACCACAGTGCCACATGCATGTGTGTCCTGGCTGTGTGTGGTGTACTCTGATTTTTTTTTTTTATTCAGTTGAGTTTCATTTTGTAAAAAGTGTTGATCTTGAGGCTCGGCACCTGTAGCTCAGTGGCTGGGGCACTAACCATATACAGCAGAGTTGGTGGGTTCAGACCCAGTGCAGACTTGTCAAACAATGACAATTACAACAAAAACAGAAATATAGCCAGGCATTCTGTCAGGCACCTGCGGTCCCAGCTACTTGGGAGGCTGAGGGAAGAGAGTCGCTTAAGCCTAAGAGTTTAAGGTTGCTGTGAGCTGTGATAACACAGCACTCTATCAAGGGCAACACATTGAGACTCTGTCTCGAGAAAAAAAAAGTGTTGATCTTGAAATCGCCTAGTAAACCCAAGTTTTGAAATAAATATTCTGAGAAACATAAGTTGGAAGTGGTACCTATAGTTTTCATGATTGTTATTGACAGTTCCACCCGGATAGACTGTGTTTGACAAGCTATGTACATTGAAAACAGGTATAGGCTCGGTGCCTGTGGCTCAAGCGGCTAAGGCGGGTTCGAATCCAGCCCAGGCCCACCAAACAACAAGGACAGCTGCAACCAAAAAATAGCTTGGCGTTGCAGCAGGCACCTGTAGTCCCAGCTACTTGGGAGGCGAAGGCAGGAGACTTGCTTGAGCCCAGGAGTTGGAGGTTGCTGTGAGCTATGATGCCACAGCACTCTACCCAGGGTGACAGCTTGAGGCTCTGTCTCAAAAAAAAAGAAAGAAAGAAAACAGGTATAGCTAGACAAATGGCTAGAAGGACAGCAGATAGCCATTTCACTTGGTAAAAACAACTCAAATTATCCTTTCAAAGAAAAAGATGTATTTTTAAAAATCATTCAATTCTTTTACTTTAAAAGTAGCCAGGCATTGTAGCGGGTGCCTGTAGTCCCAGCTACTTGGGAGGCTGAAGCAAGAGAATTGCCTAAGGCCAGGAGTTGGAGGTTGCCGTGAGCTGTGTGACGCCACAGCACTCTCCCGAGGGCGATAAAGTGAGACTCTGCCTCTACAAAAAAAATAAAAAATAAAAAATTATAATACTGTTCTTTCTCTTACATGTCTATGTCCTTAAAAAGTGATTCCCTACTATTGGTGGCACCTGTAGCTCAAAGAAGTAGGGCGCCAGTCCCATATACCGGAGGTGGTGGGTTCAAACCCAGCCCTGGCCAAAACCTGCAAAAAAAAAGGTGATTCCCTATTATGAAGTCAAAAATGGTCCTATAATAGTTGGTGCAATGTTTTAAATAAACTACTTCCATATGTTACCTCATTTAATCATAAAAATAGCATAAGCAAAGAGTGCATCCCTCTACAACTTAGGCAAAATCGCCAACCTTTTGACCTCTACTTTAGTGACCCACAGTGTTCCCACTAAGGGTAAAAGGAAAATAATGTTGTTTAAGTTCGAATTTTTCCCGGGTCCATAATCCTATTCTTCAGACTCAAATAGAGAAGCAGCCAAATTCAGTAATGGCACAGAGCAAATATCATTCATAAAAATAATGTCTCAAGGTCTATATCCCAAAATAGTGGCAGCATTTGAATGTACTGTAAGTACTGTGTCGTGCAGTCACTGTTTGCTAGGCGCTAGAACCCTTTTCTCTCAATTGATCTTAAGCTTTTTCTGAAGATATTCTGTGAGTCCGAGCATTTCCTCCAGAAAGTTTGTGGCATTTCCTTGTTCAGCATGGATACAGTCATTAATCACCAACATCTGAACCTCTACAGAAATATGGGTAGCAAGATAAGTGTTCTGAGTTCTGCAAAACTCATCACACTTCTAGAATATTCTTCCTGAGAGGACATGGTAGTGACAGCAGCTACCTTAACGTATTACTTTTTTTGATCTGAACATCTAACTAGCAGTAATTTGCTCCATAGTAATGGGAAACACTGTTGTTCTTAGTCCTTGGAGCAGTGTCCAGCATCACTCCTCTACTGTCCACATTACTAGTTACCTTTAATATACCTCAGTCTTATTTACTTGCCAGTTATAGTGTTCTTAGGAAAAGAACCTAGAAATAAAACAAAGCTCTTTAAAACATTATAACTTATTTTTTATTCAACAAATATTTATTGAGTACCTTTGTGTCTAGGATTCAGAAATGTAACATGATTCCTTCTCACAAATGATAGAAAAATCATCTCTTTAAGAGATAAATGGTAAAAGATTAGCACCTTCCATTTCATCAAAACACTTAACACCCATAACACCAGTCTGGTGTTTGACATTTTGGAAGCTAGAGTATGAAAGTTTTTTGAAATTATCGCAAGGAAAGCCCTTCATACTGTTAGTCAGGATTACAGGGCTATAAATGGATCTGACTTTTGGGAAAGGATATTTTACAAATTCACTATCTATAATTATTTGATATTCCTAATCAACAGAGTTGGAAAATGTGTTGAAACATTACAGTATCATATTTAGGGGCCATTAGGTATGTCTATATAGATTGACAGATTGTTACATATATATAACACTATACTATAAAAATATCCTTCAATTTGCAGGTTAAGCTGTGTGACTTTGGATTTGCACGCATCATCGGTGAAAAGTCATTCAGGAGATCTGTGGTAGGAACCCCAGCATACCTAGCCCCTGAAGTCCTCCGGAGCAAAGGTTACAACCGTTCTCTAGATATGTGGTCAGTGGGAGTTATTGTCTATGTGAGCCTTAGTGGCACATTTCCTTTTAATGAGGACGAAGATATCAATGACCAAATCCAAAATGCTGCATTTATGTATCCACCAAATCCGTGGAAAGAAATTTCTGGTGAAGGTAAAAATAATTTAAGTTTTGGCTCTTTGCTTTATAAGTCTAAAAATCTTTGATCCCAAATCAGTCTGACTTTTGTCTCCTCTTTTTGTGTTTCCCATTTATCTTCTAAACTGAGCTAGTTACTAATTTTTGAGCAGTCCTCCTTTTACACTGCCTCTTCTGTCTCTGTCTTCCTTATACTCCCCAGGCATAGCACTAATCCAGCCCCCCATTGCTTCATTCTGATAGTCCTAAAATATTTTCTTGGGCGGTGCCTGTGGCTCAAGGAGTAGGGCACCAGCCCCATATACCGGGGGTGGCAGGTTCAAGCCTGGCCCTGGCCAAAACTGCAAACAAACCAAAAAAAAAAATAATTTTTCTTAACTGTCCTTCCCATTAAACTCCTTTTATGTCCTTTCAGTCACCACTGCCAAATTTATCTTCAGGAAACATTAATTACTTTCATCTTCCTCTGCTCCTAAACATTTTGGCTACTGTAGATTTGTAGGACTTGGTGAGGCAGTGATTTTCAATATTTCAACCTACCATTACAAGTTAGGCATTTAATGTTATTTAGAAGACAAGTAATCATTCCCTTTTAATTATTAAGGGTACCTCCACACCTCAGCATCACCTCACACATTGCCTGCCATGCTTTACAACAACTGGCCCATTGCCTTGCCCTGCATCAGCAGCCAAGATGTGGAAGGGCCCAAACCTTGTTATTTTCTTATCAAGTAATTTTCATAATAAAAATGAATAGTTCCTTATCATTTTTTTCTAAATCCCAGCATGGCTTCTATAACATCTCAAAAGAAAACAGAAGCCCTCCCCCCCCAAAAAAAAAAATTACAGATGAAAGAGCATTATTCATTGAAAAGTGAACAAATGACTCTTTTGTTGAAGGAAATAGCAAGGCACTCTTCTTAATTTGTAGGTAATTTGTGCAAGTTTTCAAAGACTGTAATTTGAAAAATCATATGCAAACACATGCTGCCAAATGCGATGCATAAGGACAAAACAGAACTAAAAAAAAGTCTTCTCAACAAAGTTTTCTTTAAAGTTACAACTCAGGTGGATTTTATTGTAAAAGCTAGTTATGTGGTAGCGTATTTAATAGCAAAAAAATCAAAACCATTTACTGATGGTGAGTTTATTAAGCCGTGTATGGTAAGCAGACAGATATAATTTGCCCTGAAAATAAGGGGGGATATTTCTAAAAGCTGTTTGTCTCACCAAACTATATCCAGGAGAAATGAAAAAACTGGAACATTTATTGAAAGCAGTTTGGAGAGTAAACCACTAATTTTAAATCTCATGCTTTGACAATACTGCTGCTACAAATACAGCTGAACTTGCCATTTTTATTAGCAGTATTGATGACAAATATAATGTCATCTTTAGTGAAATTTCTTCTTTAGAGCCATTAAAAGGCCCAACTAAATTAAGAGATTTATATGAAGAAGTAAAAAACATGTTAAAGTGATTTTCTGTGTCCATTATCAACATACCTGTTATAGTTACTGATGGTGCCCCAGCAATGGCTGATGAAAGAGAGGGACTCGTAAAATTATAAAAGATGATGGAATTGCCACCCACATTTGATGAAGTATCATTGAATAGTACATCAAGAAAATTCATGCACAAAAGCTTTTAAATTGATAATGTCTTGTCACCAAGATTATGAATTTTGTAGGGGCAAGGGAATGAATCATTGCCAATTCCAGAAATTCCTTAGAAGTATTGATGCAGACTATGACAACATCGTTTACTGTTTGGAAGTAGGATGGCTAAGTGGAGGCCAAATGTTGAAAAGATTTTATGATTTACATGTTATCAAGTCATTATGGTATCAAAAACCAAATTTGTGCCAGAACTTGACAATGAAAACTAGCTTACAGATTTAGTTAGCATTTTTAGTGGATTTAACCACTCATTTAAATGAGTTAATCATGCATCTTAAAGGTGAAAACCAACTTACCAGTATAATGTTTCTTTTTTTTTTTTTTTTTGAGACAGAGCCTCAAGCTGTCCCCCTGGGCAGAGTGCCATGGCATTACAGCTCACAGCAACCTCCAACTCCTGGGCTCAAGCGAGTCTCCTGCCTCCGCCTCCCAAGTAGCTGGGACCACAGGCGCCCGCCACAACGCCCGGCCATTTTTTGGTTGCAGCCGTCATTGTTGTTTGGCGGGTCCGGGCTGGGGATTCGAACCCGCCACCTTAGGTGTACGTGGCTGGCGCCTTAGCCGGTTGAGCTATAGGCGCCGAGCCAGTATAATGTTTCAAACCACAATAGCATTCCAAATGAAACTGAAATTATGACAAGCTCAAATTAAGACAAACAATTTTATGCATTTTGACATGTTAGCTAAACATGTGAACAGGGAAAATATGCAGCCTTGCTTTTCAGTTTGAAAATAGATTTCAAGATTTCTGGGAAAGGGCAGTGCCTGTGGCTCAAGGAGTAGGGCGCCAGCCCCATATACCAGAGGTGGTGGGTTCAAACCCAGCCCCATCCAAAAACTGTTAAAAAAAAAAAAAAAGAAAGGACTTCTGGGAAAATAATATTTTGGTGCATTTATGACTCCATTTTCAGTCAATATAAATATGTTAAATGTGATCGGCTTGGCGCCCCTAGCACAGTGTTTACAACGCTAGCCACATGCACCAAGGCTGGTGGGTTCAAACCTGGCTCAGGCCTGCTAAACGACAACTGCAACAAAAAAAATAGCTGGGTATTGTGGCAGGTGCCTATAGTCCCGGCTACTTGGGAGGCTGAGGCAAGAGAATCGCTTAAGCCCAAGAAAGAGTTTGACATTGCTGTGAGCTATGACACCATGGCACTCTATGAAGGGTGACATAGTGACACTGTCTCAAAAATAAAGTGATCGGGCGGCGTCTGTGGCTTAGTGGGTAGAGCACCAGCCCCATATACCAAGGGTGGCTGGTTCAAACCCAGCCCTAGCCAAACTGCAAAAAAAAAATAGCCAAGCCTTGTGACAGGTGCCTGTAGTCCTAGCTACTGAGGAGGCTGAGGCAAGAGAATCGCCTAAGCCCAGGAGTTGGAGGCTGCTGTGAGCTGTGTGATGCCACAGCACTCTGTGGAGGGCAACAAAATGAGACTCTTGTCCCTACCAAAAAAAAAAAAAAGTGATCATGTATCTTTGCTGTACTTTATAGGTCCTATCTTTGCAGACACAAATCTCTCTCGCTTCACAATCATACTTATGCATGATTTTTGGCACCTACATTTGCATGTAACTATTTTTAAGAATGAAGCACATTAAGAATAAAATTAGAACCAAAATATCTGATGATTACCTTGAGAATTCACTGAGAACTGCATCTACTTCCATCAAATCAGATGTTGATGCATTAGTTTCTCAAATACAATGTAAAATATCCCACAAGTTTTATGTTGCCTTTTTTTTTTGCAGTTTTTGGCCGGGGCTGGGTTTGAACCTGCCACCTCTGGCATATGAGGCTGGCGTCCTACTCCCTTGAGCCACAGGCACTGCCCTGTGTTGCCCATTTTTATAACAAAAAATATTTGAAGAAAGATGTTTTATTACTTAGATATGTACATTTTCTATATTGGTGATCACAAACTTGGGACCTACCTGACAATAATTTTAAAGACTCTGAACAGGCAGCTATATAATTACGATTATTACATGAAGATTTTTTTGCTTATCTGTGGTGCTCATCATCTTTTCTTAGTGTTTGTGTATTTAATGGATGGCCCAGAAAAGTCAAAAGGTTGGACACCCTTGGATAAATCTTCCTTGGTTCATCTCTGAGTCTATATCTTTTGCTGTCAGTATTACAAACGTATCTGTAGTTGATTCATTTTTCCAAAAAGTGAATAAAATAAGTATGCCAGAATTCACTATAACACACTGAACCTATTTGTTACAAGTATCACCTTGTGATCAGTTATCACCTCAGTTAACCATGTCTACAGAGGCAAGGCAATGGCTTTGGCTACATTTACAGATTTAGCTAGGGACTAGATCAGAGTAACACAATATCATGGGGGATAGGGAGGGTCTACTTGTAAGCAGAGTCTATTTTCTTCATCTTTAGGAATAATTAGTACTTACTTAGCACTCTGGGCTAAGTCCTATTCTAAGCCCTGCACATATACGAACTGACTTTAAACTTCATGTGCAATTTAAAATTGCACACTATTTTAAATTGCACACCAACTTTATGGTCACCCTGTATTAAACCTATTTCATCTTTTCAACAACTTCATTTTATAGATGAGGAATTGAGCTATAGCCTAGTTTTATTAGTAATAACTGGCCCCATATCACATAGCCAGGAGGTGGCAGAACCAGATTTCAGCCCAGGCATTCTGGCTCCAGAGTGTATACTTTTTTTTTTTTTTTTTTTTGAGACAGAGTTTCACTTAATAACCCTCGGTAGAGTGCCATGTAGTCACAGCTCACAGCAACCTCCCAACTCCTGGGCTTAGGCGATTCTCTTGCCTCAGCATCCCGAGTAGCTGGGACTACAGGCACCCGCTACAACACTTGGCTATTTTTTTGTTGCAGTTTGGTTGGGGCTGGGTTTGAACCCACCATCCTCAGTATATGGGGCCGGCGCCCTACTCACTGAGCCACAGGCACTGCCCCAGAATGTATACTTTTAACCTGAACTCTACAGTGCCTTCTAAATAAAATGAAAATTTGATACATACACTGAATTCAGTGACCACGTATGGATCATTTTACATGTTAGCTTAAAGTCCATGTCCTTGAGACGCAAAAATTCCTCAACCCTCTATTTGTATAGATTAAGCTCCTTTCCAGGCAGAGTCACAGGTTTGGGGTGCTCTATATACCCAAATTCATGTTATCTAACTTTGTCTTTTCTCTTAGCAATTGATTTGATAAACAACCTACTTCAAGTGAAGATGAGAAAACGTTACAGTGTTGACAAATCTCTTAGTCATCCCTGGCTACAGGTAAAAAAAAAAAAAAGTATGACTTCGTTTGACCGGTTCACTGGGAATTGTCTTACCTAATGAAACCACTTTAATAAGGCAAACACATACACATTTCTTAGAGTAATGGAAGTGCTCTTCGGTGATTACTCTGTACGGCAGCTGAATCTCTGAATGTTGTGCAGTATACCACTCCAATCAGTATTGATAGTTAATCTTCATAAACTGAAAGGAATTATAAAGCCTATGGAGCCTGTGTGTTTCTTTCACCTTTCTGTAAGATTAGCATGACATTTATCTAAATTTATTTTTAAATGTCCACTAAAAGGTTTATTTTTGCATGGTAGAGATTTTGTTTTAAAAAAGGCTTTTAAAATGTTTGGTTTAACTGCCCCAAAGATATTATATAGATTTGCTTAAAAAAAAAAAAAAAAAAAAAACTTCAGCGTAATGAGAGAATCTTTAGAACTATTTTCTTGAAGGGAGTAAGAAGGTAGAATTAACATCAAAATTAATGTAATCGTAGCCTCACTGATTATTAAATTATCCTGGTCATACCCTGTTAATTCCAAGTACTTTCACCTACTTTGAGAAAGTAAGGTTTAAGCCTGTAAAGTATAGAACATGTTTTAGTGATTATTATGCCCCCTTCAGAAGCCTGAATGCAGCAAATTGTTTTCTGATTTTAGAAAAGTTACTTTCCTTCATTAGATACTCTGGAAAAGTGTTTTATCTTTACCATTGCTGATTTAAAATATCACAGACAGAACTTAGTGTATAGCAAGTACTTACAAGTAGAGGTTGTTGATTTGACCAGGGTGCTAAGACAAAAACAAACAAACAAAAAAAAATAGTATTTTGTTTTATGTTTAATAATTACTTCATTGTTTCCTAGGACTATCAGACTTGGCTTGACCTTCGAGAATTTGAAACTCGTATTGGAGAACGTTACATTACACATGAAAGTGATGATGCTCGCTGGGAAATACATGCATACACACACAACCTTGTATACCCAAAGCACTTCATCATGGCTCCCAATCCAGATGACATGGAAGAAGATCCCTAATTATCAATGCGCAGATTTCATCTTATGGGCTGATGTTTTGGTACATAACTGTTGTTCATTGTAATCCATCATCTTCAAGAATGCAAAGACATGAGGAAATTTGATAAGGAATCAGTGACACCAATACTGTAGTTCATAATGACTAGGTACAGGAGGGGAACTGAGTAAGAAAAACTCAAGAATCAAGAAGCTTTTTATAAATTTTTATAGCATTTTTTTAATCCTTCACTTTAGTACTACAGTACCACTTAATTTATCTTCCCTTTCCTGTTTTTACATTATTTTTTTAAAGGAAAAAAATGGCAAGCTACAATCCAGTTATTGTATAGCTTGACCAAATCATAAAAGAGTTATAGGTTGATAACTAAATAGGTTTATATTTAAGAGATTACTGTGAGGCTACCAATATGTGATTTTACAAGGACTTAACATTTGTTTTACTGACCATGGAGGGTTTTTTGCTAGATAGATGTCTAGAAAAGGATTGCTGGACTGTTTCACCTGATTTTTTAGGCCGATCAAGACTTGGGACCTTTTTGGAATTGTGATTCTGAATATGCTGTCTACAACATAAAAATTAAGTTGTCACCTTCTGTGAGTATATTGCAACAGTGGAACATTTTATGTTACAAAACAAGGTCTTAAGTGTTGAGCTGTTAAGCATGTCTTCACATAGCTCAACTCTGCCCCTAAATACTCATGTTCTGACTGACACCATCCCGATGCCAGTACTGGATTCCAGCATTCAGTGGGTGCATATTTAAACTTTAAGTACACAATTTATCTTTACCCAGGGTTGTATAACTTTAGGGAGAAAATTCAATATACACTAAAAGGAAAGCCAGTGTAGGGTCAGTCAATGCTACGGTTACTATATAGCAAACAGTATCCTTTTTTTTATCTTGAACGGTTTCAAATCAGTTATTTTAAGGAGTTTGGCAGAACAGGTAGGGGTAGAAAATGAAACACTTTATAAGGGTGGGCCTATGTTATCAGCAGAGCAAATTAAAGAACAAAGTATTTCTTTTTGCATTTCAGTTCTGGCAGCCACATTTTTTAAAAAGTTAATATTTTCCCCAAAGAAAGTTTAAGATCTGAGACCATCTACTTGTAAGAAATCTAGTAGCATTTTGTTTCTTTGTTCTTCACTAATCATTTTAAGTCTGTTTTTACTTCCCCACTCTGAGAAGAGCAAAAGATTTAAGTCTTGTTTTCATTATTTATTAGCTCTGTTGACCCGGGCAGATGGCAGTTTGTCTGAGTCTATAGTTCCTAGAACTGTCAGTAAAATGAAGATCATAATTCTCATATCTACCTTTCTCATGGTGGTGTTGTGAAGATCAGATATGTGTGAATGTATTCAATAAACTAAAAACTGTACTTGTTAACTCTTACTGACACCAAGTTAGAGGTCGTAAAGGAAAAGAATGTTCTTGTATATGAACAGATTCAGAGGGAATTTAGCAATCCCTAAAGCTACTCTCCTATCTAGGACTAAAAATGTCTTTAAGAGAATTGTAGCAAACATTATATAGTGCCCCTATATTCTAAGTTGTTTTATGTTTTAATTTACCCTCTCAGAAATAGGGCAAGTATATTGCCTTTCTTACAGATAGGGAAATTAAGGCACAGGGAGCTGCCCAAATTTACAGTTAGTATGTGTATTTGAACCCAGGCAGTATGACTCCAGAGTCTCTCCTAAACCCTTCTATTACGCTATACTGTCTACCACAAATATCTCCAAGAGACATTCCCTGCCTTTCAGTAACTTGCTTTTATTTCGAAGAGTTTCAAAGATTAAACCAAACTAATTTTGAAAAAACATTTTAGAAATGTTATTATCCCTGTGGAAGAGGATGACTTCCTCAGATTTCTCCAAAGTAAGTCTGTTTATATCAACGTGTACAAAATGGAACAATTCTGAGTCACTAGGCAACCCACTGTAGTTTTACTACATATGGTGAAAATCAACTGGAATGTTTATTTGCATTACTTACATAATCAAAACTTACAAGCCATGAAATTAAATGCACTCTTTTTTGTTTGTTGCTGAATGCCTAAGAAGTTTTCAAAAATTTTGTAAAGGCACTGTCAGATAATTTGGAGTTGAGTAAAATACTCAACTCCAGATACTGTATAACCTGTATAACCTTTTGTCTTGAAGTCAAGTTGTGTTTATATAAGAAATAATCATTTGCTAGAAGTATTTGATAATGTACAGAGTAGCCTATAATGACATTGTTTAGTACATTTTTATATTTTTTTGTTACATCCAACTTCTTGTAAATATACCCAAAGAACCTTGATAATAAAATGTATTTCCATATCATCATACTTTTCCATGTGAAAACCTAAGCCTATCTAGCAGAAGTATCCAAAGAAAATTCTATTTCTATTCTATAGAAAATTCTATTTGGTTGTGCTATTTTTCCAAGTCTTGGTATAGAACTCTTTGGGAAATTATATTTATAAATAGAACTAATGCTGTGATTTTTTTTTAATTGACAAAAATAAAAAAAAAACTCCTTTAGATTTTTATACTAAATTTAAGGTAATTATCTGGAGGTTTCATTTCTTGGAATGAAAATTTGGGAATAATTATAACTATAAATTTTTCAAGAGCTACCACCCAAATCATTTAACAGTTTTTAACTATTAGAAGATTTGGAAAAGTTAACCTAGTATCAAAATAAATTATGAGAGATTATAAGATATAAGGCATTGCCTGACTCTTCCTCCTTAATTGGAAGGAATTAATTGAGGAATTAATTGGAGGAATTAATTGGAGGAACTCCTCCTCCTTACATATTTGGAAAGGGACATTTTCATCTTGCAAAATTTCTCCCAACTAAGTATTCATTTAAATAAATAGAATAAGAGTGACTTACGAATGTCTTAAAGCTGAGCAGCACCTGAAAAATAAGGCCTCTACTGTCCTTTATGTTAGTACATGGGGAACACTAATCTTGGTCTCAATGAAGCAGAAGCAACAATCAAAAGCAACTGTTCCTAATTCTACCAGTGAACTTCCAGTAAAGTAAAGCCGTAAACTCAAGACATGTGCCTAGTATTCTTTCCCTTTAATCTCCCTTATAAATTTGTTTTGCCAATTAAATAAACCCCAGAAAGTTTGGTATTTATCTTTCTAACACTATTATAATAAAAGTTCCATGAACCAAAAAATGAGAACCTAATATAGAATTAAAACTTGATGTTTATTTGAAAATACAGGAGAATCAGCTCAATTTTAAAAATTATTGCTCCTAGGTAGTCTATATTTACTCTCATATTTCAAGCATGTGCCAGGATTACTGTTTTTTACTATAACCTTTATGATTAAAATTTTTTAATTACTTATATTTATTTAAATGTAATTTTTTTCCTTACAACAAAAACGGGATCACATCCTACTTTTTTCACTTACTGAATCTTAAGAGATCTGGGTCAGAACATACTGCTTTATCTCATTTTATAACATACAGATCTATTTTATCAGTACCCATAAATAGCCATGTAAGTAGTTTGTAGTTTTTATTTAACTAATCAGGGCTTGTGTTTACTTCTTAAGATAAAATAGATATACAGCAACTACCTTTATAAATTAAAGGAAACTCAGTTTCATAATAACGTAATCATTTCATTAAGTTGAGAACACATATTTATACCAAAAGTCAGTTATAATCCTAGAAATTTTATAATTTTTGGTTGTATTATATGTAATATGGAGTATTTCTTAACTGGCTGGGAAGAGATAAAATACTTTTAACACTTATGTTACCTGATGTATCCCCTTTATTTTGATTTCTTAGGCAGACTGAGATATAAAAAGTCCAAGCTGAAATATCACTGCCAAGCAAGTTCACTAAACCCAGCCACAGGGGATGCAGAGGGTTTTGACTGACATGTATTCTTCTGATGCATTCCACCATGAAGTCTCTGATGAGGTAGCAAAGCAAAAAAGTTAAATCTGTCTCCCATCTTCTTAGGATTCATTAACATATCATACCCATGAAGTAACTGCTGCCTTACTGATGGCTCATCTGATTTATCTAAAAGAACCTGAAAAGAAAAAAATTCTTAGCAAAAATAACCGGAAGAAAGAATTTGTAATGGTATGCAGCAATACTAACAACTCTTAAATATTCTAGTAAAGCAGTGGTCTAAATGTGATTTCTGATTACCTGCCTGAGAATCATGAAGTATTTCTTAAAAATGTAGGTCTCTGTGACCCAAACCAGATTTACATTTTCAACAAATATCCCCAAGTGGTTTGATCTACAGTAAGGTTTAAGTGTCCTAAGAACAATCAGAAATTTCAGATCCATGAATAGTTTTCTTAATGAACAAAATACTACTTGGATGTCTGAATTTTACCCCAAATGGAGGTACAAGAGTATTAAAGCCACATAAACTTGTTTAAAGTAATTTTGAAATACTATGAGATCAAAATATTTAATTATAGTGAAATAAGATAAACCTTACCTTGAGCCGAACATCAATACCCATATTTTTTAAAAACGTTTGCTGTTTTATTGGGCCGAGGGAGGCTACTTTTCCCTTCGCCATTCTTCGCAAATAACTGAAGTCCACATCAGCTGTTAGGTCTGCTGTTCCTGGGGCAATTAAGACATCATGAAGCTTGTGGCCACAAAACCCCTTGAACATAAAGAAATTTTGCCTTTTTATGACTGTCATTATCAAGATTAAGGAAATGCTATCATATTGGTACATTTTTACATAGCAGCTGTTAAAGGAAAATGTGGCCTAAATCTGTGATTTACAGACTACGCAGGAGCATCCTTTCTTCAAATGAATGCTATGTGGAAAACTCAACATCAAATGCAACATCTAAGTGCAGAAAGATACTACCCATAACATTTTATTTAACATTTTATTAAAGCCTGTGGTGATGGACTAGAGATCTCATTAATTCTTTGGATGAATTCTCATAGCTATGCAGAGAACATGTAGGCAGGCAAAATATATCCATCAACCATATGTATCAGAATCGCCTGAGAATCTTATTGGACTTCTCCCGCTCCTGATCAGGCAGAATCCTGGAGGTGAGGCAAGAGAATCAGCCTTTGTAACAAGCTCTCCAGGCTATTCTTAGATACAATAAAGTTAGAAAGAAAGAACCACAGTCTAGAAAATGACTAATGACTTCTAGTTAAATATATTTCAATTGAAGTATATTGAACAGAAAGGATGTTTAAGGGGTAAAAGTACATCTGGAAAGGGGAAAAGATAAATTGAAAATATGATAGAAAAAGTTTGATTACAGTAGCTAGGTTAATTCTCAAAAAAACTGGAGTGCATAGCATTGCAATTTTTTTTTTTTTGAGACAGTGTTTCACTTTGTCACCCTTGGTAGAGTAGCGTGGTGTCACAGCTCACAGCAACCTCAAACTCTCAGGCTCAAGCATTATTTTCTTGCCTCAGCCTCCTAAAGTAGCTGGGATTACAGGCGCCCACCACAATGCTCAGCTGTTTTTGTTTGTTTTTTTGCAGTTTTTGGCCGGGGCTGGGTTTGAACCCGCCACCTCCGGCATATGGGGCCGGCACCCTACTCCTTTGCTCCACAGGCGCTGCCCCTACTTGGCTGTTTTTTAGACAGGGTCCTGCTCTTGTTCAGGCTGGTCTTAAACTCCTGAGCTCAAGCAATCTGCCCAACTCGGCCTCTGAGTGCAAGGATTACAGGTGTGAGCCACTGCACCCAGCCAAAAAAGAAAGTTTTTTGAATGAAGGGGGAGCAGATAGAAAAGTTTAAGAATGTAAAGAAAATCTTTCTATTTGTATCATTCAGATGTTCACTAGGATCTTACAGCTAAGAATAAATAATTCAGACCTTATTCACATAGGAGAGTTGGAAAGTGGACTTAGGGTTGAGGAGTAAAATCTAGAGCTAAGAGTAATTATCATGCAATTAACATGGATTGTAAGCAACATAATACAGCAATGCTACACAATGTAGAAACCAAAGATAAAGACCTTCAATGAGGTTGAGATCTAACAGTGAAATTCTGATAAATCATGTTACTGAATTACACGTACTCTGAAGGTATCTGTCTTTGTTCCATCATGACCGTAATCAGCAATCAGTGCAGCACCCCCAGTTAGTGCAATGCGTTGAGAAAGCTCCTGAATGATAACACCAGCATCAGGACACACCTCAACATGATCCCTTGTTTCATCATGCTGGTAAGAGAATAGGTGAAAGAATCAAAACACATCATTCAAAAGAGCTGTTTCCTTAGGGCTTTTCTTCAGAGAGCATTTTTTTGTTTTAATAAAATAAATTCCTTCTTATAAATTATGTTCTCTAGACTCAACTTTCAACACAATATTCTTATACAAATCTCCTTGGTTCTTTGATGCTACCCAATTGGTTTACACAAACATGTTAATCTCTTATGAAAAGGCAAATGCCCTCCCAGTAACCAAATGGCCGTATTTTAACATGTGCGTATTTTAACATAAAATTACTTTTACATCTAAATCACAGAAACACACTCCACTGGGTTGAAAGTATAGGAAAGATACTTTTGTCTGCCTAGAACAATGCAGGGCATATAACAGGCACTGAAAAAAATTGTACTGGTAGAACAAATGGCATAAATCCAATATAATAAACCCTATCAAGCAAGTATATCATGATATTCTGTGTTGGGACAAGAAAGTATCCCAATTATATGCCTACATCTAGAAACATCAGCTTATAAATTAATGCCAATGTATCTGAGAACCTTATTACCTCAAGATTTTCAATCATTAACTAAAGGTCCATAATCTTGTGATTGTTCCATTCTGGTGACCTGAATCTAATTTAGGTATCCATGGAGGCATGGCAAAAAGCCACACGTTAGCCCAAAGTTGTTTTGAGAATTAATATACCTAATATTGTTTTGAGAATTAAAGGAGAAAATATAGTACATACAAAGTACTCAATAAATTTTAGCTGTTATTGTTACTTTACTAGAGTCTGTACTAGCTCTTATAGACACTGTAGCAGCCCGTATAGCATATGGCAAGGAGGAGTGAGAGTTGTAAGTAACACCTGTATAGCTCAATAATGGAACACCTTGGTGAAAAGGGCATGGGGAGGGATTTAGCTCTCTTAACAAGCATGAGAGCTTGTGAGATGAGAGCATTAGTGAATTGGCAGTCTCTACACCTGTGGTGGTAAGAGTCCCAAGATCAGCTCTATATTAGGCTGCAGGAGAAGGCAGTTGGGAGCATACGTATGTTCTATCACCAACCACTCACTCTGACTCAGTCGCTTCACCGGCTTGCAGAATACCTGCATAGTGTCTCTCTGCTAAAGACTGCTAAGTTCTATGCTTCTAAGACAGCAGTTCTCAACCTGTGGGTCGCAATCCCTTTGGGGGGTCAAAGGACTCTTTCACAGGGGTCACTTAAGTACATCCTGCATAACAGATATTTACGTTACAATTCATAATAGTAGCAAAATTGCAGTTATGAAGTAGCAACGAAAATAATTTTACTGTGGTTGGGGTACCACAATATGAGGAACTGTGTTAAAGGGCCACAGCATTAGGAAGAGGACTACTGTTCTAAGAAGACTACTTCACCCTCAAAGACTCTCTCTCTCTCCCTTCTGCTAAAGCAAACAGCCTTTAGGCATCTAAGAGCAGTTGTTCCTGAGAGAGAGAGCAGCATAGCAGTCTGCGTCTGGAACATACCTAGATAAGCAGGGGGCCGGAGACCTGGCCAGTCCCGGGCCGACCTATGACAACAAGACACTGAACTCTTTCTAAAAATCAGACAGTTATCAATACCATTTGACAGTCAGGAAGCTGAGGTAACACAGAGGGAAGGGACTTAGCTGAGTAACTGCTTACTAACTTTTTCTCTTACATATTAAGGTCACACACACTTAAATGATTTTAACCTGATTTTACAGCCTCTGCACTTTCACCATCAATAAAAAGCACCTCCCCCTTCTGTTGCTAGCCACTCCCCCTGTAAAGGAACTCTAAAATAGTAACTCAGTAAATAAGACTTTGAAGATTCTGTTAGCAATAAAAGAAACTTAGAAGAAGAAGAAGAAAGTGTATTCTTACTTGTATGAAAGCTGTTGCTGGGGTGACACAAGGTGCCAAAACAAACCTCAGTTTATCAGGGATTTGTGGATCAACATCAATGAATACTTCTCTCCACCCTTGTGGTGTTTTCTAAATACAAAGTAACACATGAAAACATATTTTTGCAACTTACTCTGAAAACTACTTCTCAAAAGCAACTATTTGCTTTCTCTTACCATAAATATTTATAGTACTATTCAAAATTATTTAAAGGCATTACTTCATTTCGTTTGAGCAATATGAATATGAGTAGACTAAGAGAAGCAAACTATTAATGTTGTAAGGGAGAAGGAATAACAGAAATGCCAGTGTAGGACATGAGGAAATAAGCAGCATGCAAAGTGCCCCCCAAATGGAAAACAAACTCGGGAGAAACATCAGAAGCTTCTGTTGACAGACTGCTACATGAGAATGAAATCTGCTCTTGGCCTTAACAATTTTAATCTTTGAATTTTTTTTTTTTTTTAAGACAGAGTCTCACTCTGGGTAGAATGCTGTGGCATCACAGCTCCTAGCAACCTCAAACTCTTGGGCTGAAGAGATCCTCTTGCCTCCCAAGTAGCTGGGACTATGGGCACCCCCCACAACGCCCAGCTATAATCTTTGAATATTTAAAAAAATTGCTAAAGTCTACTGAGCATGGTGGAAAGCACCTGCTGTCTCAGCTACTTGAGTTTCAAGTCTGGGCAACACAGTCAGACCTGTCTCTTAAAAAATTTTTTTTGCTAAAGTAAATCTTTCATGCATGATAGCCAGTTGCCATCTTATGTTCTCTGACATCTTTATCTCAGAAGAATTAAAATTCCTTAATAATTATCCCAGGAGAATTAAGAATTCTCTTTAATATTTCATTTTTGCTTTTTATTTATGTTCACCAAAATTCCAAATAATACTTAATAATAATTTTGACAAGTAATATTTGTACACTAAGTAAATACCATAAATACTCCTTGCAAGACAAGGCCTTTTGTATTCACTTATATACATGACTTTTTTCCCATCATACCTGAAACTTATGCACAGGAAGAACATCAAAAAATTCATGCGCAAGATAGAAGCTGTACTCTATTTAAAAAGAAGAATAATGTTTAATTAGTTCCTTTGAACGTTAACTATAAAAAACAAAATGCCTCTTTCTTCAGTATTAGAACCACAAGATACATCCACAATCATCACTACCATAAAATTATCTATCTTCATAGAGAACATACAAAGGAACTATTATTTCTATTCTCATTTTCCCCATAGTGGAATCACAGAACTCAAATACCTGAATTAATAAGTATTTTATTCATCACTAGGCCTGAAAGAAATTAGAACTCAAATTTGTTAGCTGGAAGGGAATTTGAATTTCATAAAATCATCTGAGAAGGTTGAGGTCAGGAATTGCTTAAATGCCTTGCCCACGATCCTAACACTACTTTAGGTTTGAGCTGGGCTTAATCAATATTCCTGATTAGTGTAGGAATTTGGCCACCAGTCCTTGTTTGTCTTTAGACAAGTAAGGATTTTTAAGACTGGATATCTGAACTAAGCCCACCTATTAACACTGCTTCCTTGAGCCTCTGCTGCCTTGGGCTGCTTCATCATCAGCACCACCTCAGCTACAGGGAAATCCTAAAAAGTGCAATGGAGATTTATGCTTTGGTTTAGCTTTTTTTCCCTTTAATACAAACATCTCACTGGTAGATGTCTGGTTTCATTTTTACAAAACCACATGACATACAATGCACCTTAATGTCGAGCCATTTCATTTCCTAATGTGATTTCTAGAAAAAAATATGCTGCTCTCTATGGATAAGGAAGTTGGCAGCACTAACTCATCTATGGTATTACTGTAAAACAGCAGTTCTCAACCTGTGGGTCGCGACCCCTTTGGACTGTATTAAAGGTTCGTGGCATTAGGAAGGCTGAGAACCACTGCTGTAAAAGCTTATGGTCCTACCACTGAGAGGGAATGTGATCAAAATTCTTTCATTTATCTATGTAAAGTAATTACCTTTTGGAACGTCTTGCAGATCTCGATACCAGGAAATTGGAATCCCAGACTTAGTGACACCTTTCATATATACTGGGGAGTCAGCATTTCGCTCTAATGGGACCTTTTCTTCAGTCAGTGTTGACGCTTGAATCTCACTTAATTTTTGGCTCACCTCCACTAGATGTATTGAAATGTCACAGTTTTTCAGTACAGATCCAAGCTGACTGCACACCTAAATACAGAAAGAAGAAAAAAAAATACTGGCAAAATACAATGTGTTAAGTAGATTTTAGATTTTCTAATCACTTACCCCAATAATTTAAACATGTCTTAATAAAAGGAATGTTTGGTTTCAGAGAAAATGTTTCTCCCTCACGCCACTCTTTAGTAGTCTATAAGAATCATAACTTTATATAAGAAACAAATAGTGCCCCATTTGCCTTCCTAATGATAAATTATGATTAACTAATGAGAATATTTATCATCCAATAAAAACAATGATTCTCATTATGAGGGTCTAAAAAAAAAACTAAGGGAATAAAATGTATATAGCCTTGATTTTATAAAGTCACTATATCTCTGAAATAACCTCATCTTCAAGATGATGAAACTGTATCCTCAGAGAATCACATCTGAATGACCCTCTTAACTGCAGAGTTTAACTCTGAAATTCCATCACATTTTCAAGTTTTATTTAGCCACCCACATAGCATTTTTTTTACTGTTATAAATATGCAAAAGAAAATACTATTATTTTACCAGTCTTTGAAGGCTAAAAATTGAATGGCAAAAGCATAAGATGTATCAATATTATTTTTCATTTAAATTTAATTTTCAGTGATTTCCCTCCTACTTTTAAGATATGAACATGCAGATAAAGACTGACAAGATGAACAAAGTCACTAAGTCTGAAATGTCCAATTTTGAATCAAAAGTTTGGATTATTATAACTCAAGAAGCAGCACAATTAATCAGAGTATGCATCTAAACTATCAACACAGTTTTGCCATCTCTATGGTCACTTGTGTATGGCGACAGTGAAGAAGCCTGGAGAATACGTGGTGATGAAGGGCATTTTCCACAGCTTGTTGAGAATTTAGTATTTTTCTCTGCAAGAAGCAATCCAAAGCCTGAAAGAAGTAGTAGTCAGTTGGTGCAGGGTCTGGTGACTACCAAATGATAGAGAGTTTTCAGGTCTAACTTCTGTAGTTTGAGACTGTGGTTTATGTGACATGTAAACAACATTGTCAAGCATTGTCTTGGAAGAGGACTGGCCTGTCTCTGTTGACCAATCTCTGCTGCTTAATCACAAGCAGCCTCACATCATTCAACAGGTTGCAATAGACACCCATTCTAATCACTAACTAGGTGTGATGAAGCTGTAGTGGATATTCCAGTGTTGGACCGCCAAACAGATATCATTAGCTTTTTTTGATGAATATTTGGTTTTGGATTATGTTTTGGGACTTCACCTTTATCCCACCATTGTACTAAGTGCATGCAACTGTGAAATAGAATCCCCTTTTCACCACACATAACAATAGTGTAGAGATGGTTTGTCTTTATCTTGTGACAGTAAAGAAAGGTAAGCTTCGAAGTGTCTTTTCTGATGGTTTTTTACATCACATCGAACTCATCTTTCCAGCTTCTTTACCTTGGCAATTAGTTGCAAATGGCCAAATATTGTTTGAACAGTAACGTCAAACCTTGCTGCTAATTCACCTATAGGTTGAGATGGATTTTGCTTTCACTACAGCAGTGATTTTTCAACTGATGTGCCACAAGAGGATCTTAGGCGTGTCACAAAAAGTTTTAAAGATCATTAATTATTTTTAAAAAGAGCTCAAAGCACAGTATTTTTTTTCCTCTTTTTTTTTGACCAACATAATTTAAGTGTGCCATAGAAGTGAACTATCAGTTCAAGTGTGCCATGAGATTGAAAACAACTGAAAAACACTGCACTGCAGCTTTCAGCTCATCATTATCCAGTTTGGTCTCACATCCTCATGTGGCTCATTTTCGAGATTAAAATCACCAGAATGGAACTTCTCAAACCATCAACGTACTGCGCTTTCATTAGTCACATCCTTCCCAAACACTTTCATATTTCAAGCTGTCTGTGTTGCACTGGTTCTAAGATGGAATTCATACTCAAAAATAACATGAATTTTTAGCCAGGTGCAGTGGCACACACCTGTAATCTTAGCTCTTTGGGAGGCCGAGTTGGGCAGATTGCTTGAGCTCGGGAGTTTGAGACCAGCCTGAGCAAAAACAAGACCTCATCTCTAAAAAATACCTGGGTGTTAAGGCAGGCGCCTATAGTACCAGTTGCTTGGGAGGCTGAGACTAGAGAATCACTTAAGCTCAGGAGGTAGCTGTGAGCTATGACGCCATGGCACTGTACAGAGAGCAACATAGTAAGACTCTGTCTCAACAAAAAAATAACACTTATTGTTATTTTTGACTTATTTTGACTTATTTTTGACTTTTGACATGAATTTTTGACTTACCCATGGTTTTACAAAAATTGCTCTAAAAAAGTTTTAAAAGATAATCACAAGCCAAAACATTGAGTTTGAAAGAATGAAGATGTGCCTTCTCGATTAAAAAAAAAAATAAGAAATGTATCAAAGTAAAATGTCAAACTGGTTTACCAACTGGTAAACTTAGTACTTAAGGAAATTGAACATTTCATATTTAACAACTTCATAGTTTTGAGATGAAATGCACATGAAAACCCTAAGAGAAAAATCCTTCAGAAGGTAAGATCAAAAATAAAAATAGGTAATACTTCTTTGGCTATTTTCTTTACATTTCTTTAGATTCTTTGGCTTTTTAAGAGTTCTTAAGACTCTGGAAGAAGCCCAAGTGTCTATCGATCCACAAATGGATCAATAAACTGTGGTATATGTACACTATGGAATACTATGCAGCCCTAAAGATGGAGACTTTACCGCCTTCATGTTTACATGGATGGAACTAGAAAATGTTCTTCTTAGCAAGGTATCACAAGAATGGAAGAAAAAGTATCCAATGAACACAGCCCTATTATGAAACTAATTTATAGTTCTCAAATGAAAGCTACAACCTAATTCTAGCCCAAGAATATGGGGAGAAGGGTGGATGGGTGGAGGGAGGGTGATTGGAAAGATCACCTATATGGTCTGTCTTATAAGGGTATAAGTGAATCTTTCTAAAACTAGAGTATAAATGTCTTAACACAATAACTAAGTAAATGACATAAAGTCTATGTTAACCAGTTTGATGAAAAATTTCAAATTGTATATGAAAACACTACACTGTACCCCATGTTTGCTATGTACACAGCTATCATTTAATTTAAAAAAAAAAGCTCAAAAAAAAAAGTTCTTAAGACTCAATCTAGAATAGCATACTTCATATGCTTAAGGTCTATGGACTTGATTTTTAAAGTACTTAAACAAGAAAAACACTATTATATTTGAAAACCTTATTAAATCTGTTTTATTTAAGTAACTTTGCCAATTTAAAGAAATATAAAATAGAGCCCTAGAAACGTAATCAGTGATTTTGATTTCTTTTTTCTCCCCAAAGATGCTATAATCAGCATTCTCATCTGCAGATGTTTATATATTTTCTTTTCTTTGGCCTCCAGCTTTGCATGGTTATATATTTTCTTTTTAAAAATCCTTCAATTCTTGGGCCAGGCACAGTGGCTCACACTTGTAATCCTAGCACTCTGGGAGGCCAAGGTGGGCAGATTACCTGAGCTCACGAGTTTGAGATCAACCTGAGCAAGAGCAAGACCCTATCTCTAAAAAAAGCTGGACATTGTGGTGGGTGCCTATAGTCCCAGCTACTCGGGAGGTTGAGGTAAGAGAATTGCTTAAGCCCTGGAGCTGGAGGTTGCCGTGAGGTGTGACACCACAGCATTTTACCAAGGGCAATAAAGTGAGACTCTGTCTCTTAAAAAAAAAAAAAAACCTTCAATTCTTAATTTAATGAAGAAATCATATAGTATCAAGAAAGTTAAATTTATATTAAGTATATGTTTTTACTTTGAATTGCTAAGTACATACAGGAATAAACTAAAAAAGACTAATGAGTCCCACTATAGTAAAATCTACAAAGTTTAATAAATACTTATTAGTGTCAGCTATTATACAATTATCCTCATGACAGAAGGAAAAATAACCACCATCTGGTTAAAGAAATAGGATGTGACCTTACCTCTAAAGCCCCTGGGTCTTCCCTCTCTCAGAAGTCACCACTGTTGTGAATCTCAATCATTTCCTGACTTTTCTTAATAAATGTTACTAAATATGCACATATTTGTATCACAAAACTTATATTGTTTAATGTTGACTATTTTTGGATTTTAAATACAATCGTATGATATGGATTCTTTTGAAATTGCTATTCTTACTCATTACCCTGTTTCATGTTGAATGCTGCCATGCTATAGTGTGATTTCATACATTTTTATAGCATTTGGTGTATGACTGTATCACAATTTAGTGATCCATTTTCCCATTTGGGTCACTCTAGTGTTCTGCAATTTTAAACAAGGTTGCTGTCCTCTTGTACGTGTCTTCTGGTACACGTACACACTAATTTCTCTAGGGGATATCACTAGCAGTAACATTGCTAGATCATGCAACATAAGTAGCTTTCATGTCAGTAGATAGTGCCCAACAGCTTTGTCAAAATGGTTGTACCAAATCACACTCTTTACAAGCAGTACGTCCAAGAGTACTGCTTGGTGCCACTTGCAAGTACTCTGCTCCACATATCCCCATTCTCACCAATACATGGTATTGTCAGATTTTCTAATTTTTGCAATGTGGTCAGTGTTACAGTGGTATTTCACTGTGTACTTAATTTTCATTTCCCTGACTACTAATGAGACTGAGCATCTTTTGTTTCTATTAGCCATTTAGATTTTGTCTTTTATGTCTTCATAAAAAAAAGGCCTTGTTCACATCTCTGGCCTGATTCTATTTAAAGGAATTCTTTATATAGTTTGTTGTTGGCTATGTTTGTAAATAACTTCTCCCACTCTGTGGATTATCTAATCATTATGGTGTCTTTGAAGAAAGACAAAATTCTTAATTTCAATGCAGTTTAAATTATTAATCTTTTCCTTTATAGCTTGTTTTTTATATAATTAAAAACTTTCCCTACACAAAAGATAAGTATATATACTCTCTCTCATAATGTCTTCTAAATGTTTCCTATTTCTAGCTTTCACATTTATCCTCCCCTCCATTTTTTAAGCCTACAGACAAGTAAAGATTCATTATTCTAACATTGTATCTTAGCTGAGAAATACAAGATTAAGGAACTGAAAGTCAAGGAAATCAACAAAATGTGCAAACTTAGTCAGAAGTAGTAAGATTCAACCACATGAGAACTAAAGACATTCTTTTATTACTTACCCTTAAAATATCTCCCATGAGGGTACCCCTACCTGGACCCAGTTCCACCAGCTGGAAAGCTATACTTTTTCCAGTGGCCATCCATTCACTAATGAACCATATCCCTAGTAACTGTGACAAGATAAAAAAAAATAATTATATCTTTTCATAAAGTACATTATTATAAAGTATAAGATTATACAATATAAAATTTCATATAAATGTATAGTTTATGCTATTAATGGAACGCAAAATATTTACATCATATGTTAGTTAATATTCACATATATGTACACACACATAGGAACTTCACTGGGACTGTGTCACAACATACACTGTTTAGGAAGATTATAGTTATAATGCAATCTCTGCTATAAAAGGTCCCACAACACAGATGATTAACAAAAGGTACTAGTACTTGAAAGCAAATAGATTTGTGAAATGTGATTATGCCATTTCTTCATATCCACATGATTTAAATAATTACATGACTCTTAAATATAACTGATATTTTTCAATACCTGGATTCTACTTCCTCTTATGCACTATTTCCTATTTCTAAACTCATCAAAGGCACTTATACAGAAGTAAACTTGAACTCTGTTTATTGAAGGGAAACTTCCAACTACAGCTAAATCACGGCTGGGGCCTTTAGAACTCATCTTAAATCCAGCAATTCATCAGTATTCTTTTTTATCTTTTCTCTCTTCTTAGGTATTTTTTTTTTTTCGAGACAGAGCCTCCAGCTGTTGCCCTGGGTAGAGTGCCATGGTATCACAGCTCACAGCAACCTCCAACTCATGGGCTCAAGCCATTCTCCTGCCTCTGCCTCCCAAGTAGCTGGGACTGCAGGAGGCATGACACAATGCCCGGCTACTTTTTTTTTTT